CCGCCTCCGCCGCTCCTGATTGGCTCCGCGGGGCCGCCGCCGCGTGACGCCAGGGCGTGCGTGGTGCCGGAGCGTGCGCGGAAAGGCCGGGGCGTCGCTGGGGACTACGGCTCCCGGCGTGCCCCGCGCCCCCGCCGCGGCCTGCGCCGCGGGCAGTGCATGCCGGGAGGTGTAGTCGGCGCGGGCGCGGCCGGCTCGCGCCGCGCTGCACGCCGGGATGCGGAGCCTCGTTGGCGGGCGGGCGGTTGTCGCGCCGAGGGCGGCGGCGGTGATGGCCGCGAATAAAACCCGCCCGTTGGGCCCCGCACAGCGTCCCCAGCCGCAGGCATCGAGTGTCCGCGGCGGCTCCGCGGCCGCCACAGCCCCTGCGGCTGCCCTGGCGTGTGCGGAGGCCGAAAGCCGTCCGCGTGGCGGCCGCCTGCCCGTGCAGTGCCCCCCGCCGCCGCGGAGCGGGTCGGCTTCCCATGGAGAGACTTTCCTACTGAGATAAAGTTGTGTTTCCCTCCGCTGCACGTGCAGAAAGCAGCACAAAGATTATCCGAGTGCTAGCAGGGAGCTTGGAAACCAGCATACAAGTTTAGAGAACTCTTTTTTTTTTTTTTTTTAAATCCTTTTTCATGTGTTCATGGCTTTAAATCCCAGCCCGTGGCTGAGGGGAGCCCAGCAGCAGCAGGAGGCTCCTGCCCTACCCAGGCGCAGGAGGCTGTGCGAGGCGCGGTGGTGCTCACAGCTAACCTGTTGTGGGTTGCAGGAAAGCTGAGGTTGTAATGCCACTAGCCATGTAAAATAAACACTCTTTGATGGTTGTTTTTGCCAGTCTTATTGATGTCTGTGTCAATCTCACTACTTTTCAGGGCCCAGCTTTCCATCTGCGTACACCTAGATAAGAAGAACAGTGGTAAATATTTCCGTATCAAAACAGCCTACCGGGTTACAAGCCACCTGACATACAAAAAGAAAATGAGTGTATGAGACAGTCCTAATCCTCTCAGTTACATGCATGTACAGGAAAACACCTAAAGAAACGTCTTTTGAGCCCCTTTTTAATGCTAAAAGAAGTTTTGAGCTAAAAAGAACATCTCTTTGAAGGAGGCGTGTATTAGATGCAGCTCACAGCCAGCCTTTTGCCACGGCTCGAGGAAAGCATGTGCTCT